AACTGCACTCGCTCCAAAGGAGATTTTGGTGAAATGAAAGACGCTAAACAGGTTTACCATGTTTCGATGCTTTAGTGGGCTGATAGCTCTGAGAACCCAGCCAACATGCTGAAGGCTGTATTTTTCTGTATTTTAGGACAAAAAAAAAAAAAAAAAGTATACAAGCAGAAGCTTCATCAGAATTGGGGAAATTTCCCTCACACTGTTTTGGGGGAGGGTTACATAATGCACAATAACTTTATGTGAATCCTCTACCATGCATTTATACCTAATATAAGCAAAATTAAAAGTGATTGGATATGCAAAGAGAAACAAAATACAGTCAATAACAAGGGAGAATAGGTAGACAACAGAGCAGATGAATGGATATGTGGCTATTGTAGTTAACAGATGAAATTAGAATTAAATACACTAAAGGAAGTACAGGATGATCAAAAGAGATGAATAGAAAATTTAAATGAATGTAAAAGATTTTAAAATCAAATTGACATTTTAAAACTGAAAAATATAACACACTTACTTTTTTGTTTTTGTTTTTGTTTTTGTCTTTTTCGTTTTTATCAGTACCAGGGATCGAACTCACAACTGCCTGCTTGCAAGGCAGGCGCTTATGCCGCTGAGCTAAATCCCCAGCCCCAACACACTTAGTTTTTAATGGGTGAATTTAACAGTAGGTCAGGCTCTACAGAGCACAAGGGAAGTAAATTACAATATAGATCAATATAGAAAACACCCAGTAACTACCACAGAATATAATGGTCTGCCGCAACTGTTTTCTTTTTTTTTTTTTTTTTTTTTTTTAATTTTATTTAAGGAGAAAAGAAAAAAAAACAGTGAAAGGGTACAAGTTATACAGATTTACAGAAAAAAAAATGAACAGTAGGAAATCACTAGTTAATGGATTACATATTGTCATCTTAGAAATAATTGTTCAAGTCACAAAATTAAAGCTTGTAGAGTGGACATTCCAACAATGATACTGCAAACAGTTCTGTTCAATGATCCAATAAAACTCTGTGATATCATTTTCTATCTTATACACTTAAATATACATGCAGTTATATAGTTTAGAGCACTTTCTTTTCCTCTCTTTTGTACAGTGACTATTACACATTTTGGGTTTCATTGCTCCCACGGTTCTTATTGCTTTTTTGGAAGAGAGTAAAACCAAATGTGACATAACAGAACAGAATCGGTCAAGTCAAAAGGGTGGACATAATAGATAATATAAAAACATAATACAAGGTGATCAACAATGGTTACCATAATGCCTCCCGCTATCTCTAATAGAATTGCCTATATGATTAGTTATAATACAATTGAACAAAACAGTAAAGAACAAAACCAAAACATTGGAGACATTGTAGGTCTTCAAAAGTAGATAAAAGTCAACGAGAATGGGCGTTATAATGAATCTCATTATCTTCACAGCTGATGCCTAAACTTTCGAACCTAATACTATCCAGCAAAACAGAATAGGGGAACATCAGTCAAAAACAAGATGGTGAGAGTAATACAGGGCTTCAAATCGAGATAATAGAAAGTCAAAGTGGGTTACTATAATATATCCTGCTATTTTTTTTCCCTTTAATTAAACGGATAAAAATAAAAAAGTAAATAATGGAGTGGAGATTGAGATAAGAGAGGGCATAACAGCGAAACAGCGCAGATCAAAACATAACCATTTAAGCAGAATAGTGTTTCACCACCAGATAATTCTGACCCAAAAGTAGTTACCATATTGACTCTTTCCTTGAAATCCTTGAGTACAACTTCGTATACTGTAGCATTAAGTATATCAAAACAATGTAAAACCATTTAAGAGAATGACAGCATTACAGAGTATTTAGAATCGACTAACAGAAAATGAACAATGGTTTCTGTATAATCTCCTTGTCTTTAAAAGGTTTTTGCTTATACTATCGTACATAATAAAATCCAATAAGATACAACCTATTTAGACCATTGGAGAGAGAAGAACAAAGACTAGATGAGACTTCAAAACAAGATGTTACTAAATCAGTATTACCTATTAAGATGTCATTTTCTCCAAAATAGCTGTTCCTATCATTCAATCTTCTCTGTCTCGTTTCTGTTGAGCTCTTTTTCTGTCAGTAGCTGTCAGTTTGTCTTCTTCATTTTGTTCTCTGCTCCATTCATTGTGGCCTCCCCACCACTATTTCTGGGTTCTTTGTATTTTTCTTTTTTTAGAATATCCTGCAATACTTTCTGTAGAGTTGAATTGGTGGTTGCAAATTCCCCCAGTTCCTCTTTATCCTGGAAGCACCTCGTTTTTCCATCAATTTCCAGGGACAGTTGTGCAGGATATCTCAATCTTGGCTGGAGATTATTATCTTTCAAAGCTTGAATTATTTCCCCCCACGTTCTTCGTGATTTGATGGTTTGTGCAGAGAAATCTGCTGTAATTCTGATGGGTGTTCACTTGTAAGTGGTCTGTTTCTTGTCTCTGACAGCTTTTAATATTCTGTTCTTGTATTGAATTTCTGCAATTTTTATTATTATATGCCTGGGTGTTTCTCTGTTTGGGTTGTAGGTGGCTGGGGTCCTGTATACCTCATACATCTGAGTATCTTTACCTTTTGCTAAATTAGGAAAATTCTCCTGGATTATTTCTGTGAGTAGCTTTTGTAGTTCACTTGTTTGTGTCCCTACTTCTTCTTTTATGTTCTTAATCCTTAAGTTATGGATCCTCTTATCATCTTCTTGTCTTTGTATTATTGCTGTTTGTTTCTTTGTTATTTTTAAGAAGTTTTTCATTTCATTCTCCCATATTACAAGTCTGCCCTCCAGTTCAGATAGTCTGTCCTTAGTTTCTTTCAAGCTGTTATGCCAGTCTTGGATAGACTTCTTAGTTTCTTGGTAGTCCCTTTGAACCTGCTTCAGGTACTCTATGCTTTCTCTGTTTTCTCCATCAAACAATTCTCCCCTCTTTTTCTGTTCTTCCATTCCACCATCTGTTTTTTCCTGGGTGGTGCTTAGCATTTCTCTAACTATTCTGCATACTTCTAGCTTCAGGTCGTCGATAACTTCATTCCTGAATTGGTCTATGAGGCTCTCTATATGGCGCTTTATGTCTATTGGTGCGGTGTCCGCTATTGCCTGTTTCTCAGAATTGGGGGCTGAGGAGCCCTTCTTGTTGCTGCCTCTTCCCATATCCTCCGTTCCTTATATATGCAAGCTTACATAGGAGACCCAGCTTCTCTCCCTGTCAGCCACAGCCTGATCGAATTGCTCCGGTTAGGTGTTCCCACCCACTGCAGCACACCAGGAAGTTGCAGATCAGGCAGCCTATGCGTCGCTCCTCCCGGCCACCGTCAGGCTCTGGGATCTGGGTTGGGACAGCCTACCGGGTCCGCCGGCAGCATCACGCAGGCCAGGCACTTTTCACCAATCCCGTCCGAGAGGGGAATGTGTGGCTGGAGTTGCCACCACGCCCTGCTCCCGCAGGACTGCCCCGGCCCAGAAAGTCCTCCGCTGGAGTCAAACTGTGGTAGAGTGTCAGTTTCTCTCACTCACCTCACCACAAGTCAGTGTACGCCTCCCTGCCCATCCTGTTTTCAACTCCGTTCGCAGACTCCCGTTCTCAGAGCTTCCGCGCGTCTCTCCCCTTGCCGAGCTGATGTAGAGGCAGCCAGCTGCAGCGGCGGGAAACCCAAATCGCGGCTTCCAATGGCGTGGGGTCCAGCCTCCGCACCAAGGCTTTTCTGTTCCTGTTTTAGCACCAGGACTGCATTCCAAGTTGGTTTCTCTCAGCCCAGTTCGTTCCTGAGTCAGCAGAGCGTATCTCCACCGGCTTATGTCTCCTTAGTCCGCACCATTCCTGACTTCTGAACCAAGCCTTTCAGAGAGCCTCTGTAGTATCTGCTATCTGTCCGCCATGTTCTCCCGGAACCGCCGCAACTGTTTTCTAAGCTCGGTTCTGGTTGTACATGCAAGAAGCTTTTTTGAAAATTCAGTAAATAACTGTGTATATACATCTACCCACATGCACATATATGTTTGTATTTATACATATATACATTTTTATGTACCCACATGTACATACGTATACAGTATATAGAATTCTTTTGTTTTCTATCTATATCTGAAAAAATATACATGAAAACAAAGTTATTTTCCTGAAGTGTACAATTTTAGTACAAGACTAAAAATATTTATGTGATAATACACATAACTCAGTGTTTCATTTGCATTCCAACATTTCTGTCTCATCAAATATTACCATGTATTAGGTGAGTTGGTCACATTGGCAGATTTGAGGTTGCTTTTCTAACACAGAATGAAGATAGAGGTTATAGTTTAAATTAATTTAAGCATTTTAAAATCACAAATTAAATTCAACTTGTGCTTGTTATAATGAATATTCTCATTTGAACAAGCCACATGTTGTCACCTTATATTGATATGTCTCATATCTATTTCAATACTTTTTTCAATAAAGTTGTAACTTTTAGAAAATGAGTAAAGTATTTCTATAAAGCGTGGAGATACTTGCAGTGGAAAATGATATGCTCCACCCCATTTTATTGATTTGCTAAAACAACCTATCAGCATAGACACAGAACATTGGTTCACCTGGGATACATGATGGGGAAGGTCAGATGAGAAAAACCTTAATGAAATTCCTTCAGAGCATTTTTGCAGGAAGTGTTTTCCGAGAATGAAAATCTTGACTATCTATTGGTAATAGCTACTTCTCTGAGAGTAGGGAAACAATCCAGCTGAAACCATGACTTTGAAATTAGTTTGTGCGGACTGGTTCTGAAAGTCATTTAGTATTTTCTCTTATTGTGTATTAACACAATCTTTCCACGCCGGTGTTTCCTGGAATGTATTCTGTCAGCCAGAGCTCACAGCTGTGGATTTGGTAGCTCTTTGCAGCAGGCTACAAAACATTGCCTTCTTAAGACACTCATTACTTTGAGCTTTAAAATGTTTAATTCATGTTTCAGTGGGATGTTGATCTAATTGTTTTCTAGGACTGCCTCAAAGCATGTAAACAAGGACCTGGGTAATATAGAGGAAAACAAAAAGTTAGAAGAAAACAATCACAAAACAGAAGCCTAAGAGAGAAACAGGTTTTGCTGTCCAGGTAAGTAGGCTGGATGACATTCACAGATACAATTCCCAGGAAAATGTGGAACCTCTTTGGAAATGAAAGGGAGCACCCTGGACATTCAGGTGCTTTATAATTACAACTTCCAAACAGGAGGGGAGCTCAGACAGTGCTCTCAAAACAATGCAATTTCTCGTCTCTTTTGTTCCCCAAAATAACATTGTCTTCTGAATAATAATAATAATTTTTGAGATTTTAGCATCCATTTTTAGTTTGGTTTTATAATCCCAAATATTTTACTGAGTATGAAGAAATGAAAAAAAATGTATATTACACCAATGTGTAGTAACAGTGTGTGCCAGATACCAATGTATCTGGCTTCAATCAGAATAGACTATTTTTTTCAGTCGCCCTTTTTAAATTTTTTTCTTTTAAATTTGAGTCAAAGTCTCATGAACTTCCTGTTTTATAACTCAAACTTACATTCTTCCTGCCTCAGCCTCCCTCAGTGCTGAGACTTCAAATTTACTTTTAAAAACAATCAGGATAGTTTAAAAATAAAATCTAAGACTGCAGTATAAGTTACTGTATTTACACTACCACCTACCAAGTCATTTTAGAGAACAGGTTGACAAACTAGTGCATACGTGTACATATACTTTTACAGGCAGTATATGCATATCTGTATGTATATATATATGACCAAGAATATATGAATGTTTAAGTTCTTAAAAATTTATCATAGTAAAAGATACATTGCCAGTAATCACTCTCAAAACACTCCTTTTTTTTCGAACATGTGTACCCTATCTTTCTTGCCACTTTCTGAAGCCATTTTGGAAGTCGTTTTTTGTATCTTTGACATGTGTGACCAAAAATACCTAGAATGCTGCTGCTACTTTTACTGTAATAAATTTTTAAAAATTTAAACATTCACTGTATATTTTGATCTCCCATATAGGCATATAGGCAGATATCTATGTATGCATGTAAATATGTATAATCTGGGCAAATGTTGCATAGATTATGTATATTTATATGTAATAGTTATATTTGTGTGATTTTTAAAAAGACAATCCCCAAAATTTATATGATTCTGTGGCCTTGCCAATTGCAATTTGAGCTTGTGTGTGTGTGTGTGTGTGTGTGTGCGCGCGTGTGTGTGTTCCCTTAGCCAGTCACACAGAAGAGCTATTTGGAGTAATTACTTTGTTTGTCCTTGAGAATAACTTGTTACTGTAGCTTAGCAATAGGATAGAAAAAAACCCTGACAACTACTTTAAACCTTGAATGCCTTATAAATAAGCCACAAGTCACAATTTAAGTGGCTTGTCCAAGTTAATTTCACAGTGCTAATGGGGGACATGGCAAAGAATTATGTTTGGAAGGATACACTCAGGAAAGAAAAATAGAATAATCAAAGCAAAGCCTTTTAAATCTCAGAATCAAGATCTTAAACTGAGTCCCAAAAACACATGTCAGAATTAAATGTTTTCTCCTGTTCTGTGTCCCATTGGTGGCCAAATATTTAGCTTTCTCATATTTTTCCCCATCACTCTAGAATTTTTTCCTTAGCCCTTTGTAGATGTATACTTTACCGCTGTTTTCATCAAAATTGTGTTGAGCAATTTCTCAAAAAAAAAAAAAAACTTAAAAATAAGTCCCATGAACAGAATATGATTTGAAAGGAGGTACATATTTTATAATCTGAAGAAAAATGGATTGAAGTATTTTCCAAAGCATTTATAATCTTCATGTGATCTAACCAATAGTTTAAAAAATCCTCACAACAGTTCCAACAAACTATTTGCACATGTGCTATAGTAAGGGCTGAGGTTATGGCAGGGTTCAGGGGTGTACTAGCAGATTCCTCCCACGAAGTAAGACCTATCACTTTTTGTACAAAGCATCTATTGATAGTGGAAAATGATTGTGGTGGTAACTTACCTAAATTACATTTTTTTCATCATTTCACAGAAAAAAAAAACTATATAAACCAATCGAAGCATGAACGTGGATTGTATTTAAGATTAAACAAAGACATTGACAGCAATTCCTGGTTCAAGTATTAAACAGTTCATTCTACCAAGCTGTCACAGAATTGTAGAGAATTATCTCAAGTAAAACAGTGAAGCAAAATTTTAAGAAATAACAAGTTTGGCAGCCATGATATTAGGTCATATGTTGTGTTTGGTTTGAATTTTTTTTCTGTAAATGTCTGCACTGAGGATTTCTTTTTGGTTTGCCTTTTATGTAAATTTTTTACGTAGCTATTTTTATACACTGTAAGCTTTGTTCTGGGTGTTGCTGTTAATCTGATGTATAATGTAATGTTTTTATTTCAATTGTTTATATGGATAATCTGAGCAGGTACATGTCTGATTCTGATTGCTATCAGTAATGCCCCACACTTTCTCACAAGCACCTAAAACCCAAAGGTAGCAGCTTGTGAAGATTAGGACACACTCATTGCCCTATTTAAAGCCTGATTTTTATCACAAATTAGAGAGAGACAGTCAGATTTCTGAGCAGCACCTGAGCTGATTCTGAGAGTGTGCGACCAGCTGATTCCTAACAAATCCAGATACATATGGACACAGATGCATGATATTCCTGTGCTCCCAAACTGAGAATTTGCCTTTTCTGAAAAAGATAACAGAAAATTTGGGTAGCACTTACCTTTAGATACCTGCTAATACATTACTTTTTGTGTGAACAGACAAAACAAACCCATGTGTGAGAGATAGTTTGAAAAAATCATGCGTAACATTTCCATTTTTCACAGATCACAATGTAAATCATTGTAATTAAAAATTGGTGTTAAATCCTTTGGGTTATCCACTGCCTTAAAATTATACCTATTTCCTTTTAAAAAAGGATATCAGTCAGAATTGGAGATTTTTAACAGTGGTCATTATCAAAGCTGTGTTATTTTCCACAGAATATAGAATATATATTTTTTTCGTGTGTGTTTTTGTTAACTACGCTACAGATATTGAATGCACCTTGAGATAATTTAGTGTTTTTAACTGGTACATAATTTATCAAGCAGTACATAAAAGTGTAATAATAAAATGTCTATGTATCTTTAGTTACATTCAAATTTGTAACTTTATAAACATGTTTTATGCCTGAGGAATTTTTAAGGTGGTAGTATAAACGGAAACTTTTTGAAGTAGACTGGATATGGACCAGTAGCTCCTTGTGACTAGACTTTTAAACTTTGCTCTTTCAGGCAGATGCCTAGTTTCTGGGAGAATACTGCACAGCCATTTTTGTCCCAGAAATTACATAACTTTCACTGAAAAAAAAATGAACATTAAATTTGCAGATACAGAACTATGTTCTTTGAAAGGAAAACTGACGTTTGTTTTGTAGACTTCATCGAATAAAAATGTTGACGGCAATGAAAAATTAATTGAAGATTAAAGCTAGAGGGACATTAGGAATAATGTTTTGCCATTTCTGCATTATTTGAAAACACGTGTTATTGTACATTTGTAAACCATTTATTGTCTGAGCAATAGTGACTCAGTTTAACAAAAGCTTCCTGTAGTGCATTGGTATGAATTAAATACATAAAATATTCTATTAGATGTAATGTTGTATAAAACATGGAAAAAAGAAAATATATTATTTTCTAAATGCCTCTAAACTTTGATTTATTGAAGTTTTATTTGGCAGAAAAAAATTGAATCTTGGTCAATATTGAAACCAAAGTAAAAGGGAAGAACCAAAGTTCCTTGTTTTGCACGGCGAAGCCATTCTGTTATCTCTGTAAATACTATGATCTATTTTTTTTCTCTTTAGAATTTTGTTAAAGAAATTCTAAAATTTTTAAACACCTGCTTTCCACAGTAAACCATGAACACTAATGTGAAATTAGGTTACTTCCATATTAATATTATTTTGTTTTCTTTTGTGTGGGAGATCAAAGGTTGAAAGTTTACTCCTAAGGTATGCTTGGAGAAACAAGCAACAGGACGAAAGAGAGACAGGGTTATGCTGCAGTGATGAATTTGCTTCCATTTACAATGGTTAAGTCCAAAACCAGTTGTCAGAATCTAGGAAGAAATCCAGAGCTTTGGACCAAGAGCAGAAAATTGGCCAGGAAAAGAGGGGACAGCAGTATTCTGATTGAATCCAAGCCAGATAAAGAGGAAATCTTCCTTTCCCTACGGCGACCACGTACACAGTGACACCAGGAAGGAAGGTAGTGCACAACCTTCAGCTTCTGAGGATTTGTATCTCCAGTTTAGCTCTTTGGCAAGAGGATACAGGTTTTACCAGTTCAAGATTCGCTCCCTATATGTGACTCTAGAAATTGTATGTGGAAATGGATTAACATATCCGTCTATGCCTAAAAGATAATAAAAATGAAATATGTCTTCACATATCTCTCATGGTTCTCTGTTTTTTGTCTACATAAGGATGTTCATGTATAGAAAGTGACCATCTCTAATAAAGAGCTAAAAACTGTAGTGTGATTGTCTTTCCCTCTGCAGAGGGAGTACAGAAAAATCACACTTCCCATGCTTCTTACTGTGTTAGGTGGACTCACCTCTGCCCGCTCCCAGATTGCTCCAGGAACTGGTTTTATAAAATGTCTCCAGTGATAGGATCATATTATGAGCACCCTGTGCAGCTGTTCAAGGAATTTAACTGAGCATATTCTCATATTTCTTCACCTCTGCCAACCACTTACCACTTAGATTACCATTTGGAGTTGCCTATCTGTGAATTTTATAGAAGTGTTTGGCCCTCAGAATAAGTTAAAGTCAGCTGTGCACAGAGGTGGAAATTCCTGAGGCAACAGGTTGATTGAACCCACAACATGTGCTAGGCACATCCACACATTATTTTATTTAATCATTAAAAGTTCCAAATAGTGCTAAATATCCTTCAGTTAACAGCCAGAAACCAAGCTTCATACCCCGCAAGTACACTTGACGGAAGTTTGTTTGTTGGGTATCAAACCAGATCCTATTCCATGGCACAGCCAGATGTAGTTCCCAATGTTCCTCTATGAAACAATT